TTTCTTAATTGGTTAATAGGCTAGGCTATCACAGCCAACCATATGTAAAAGTCTCACAAGGGATGATAGGTCAATCCCATGGATTATTAAAATCACCACTTAATTTTAAAGTACCGCCAGGATCAACTAGGAGTTTCTCAAAATTGAGGACAAAGGATTGGGGACTTTAAAAAAAATTATTGGCCCAAATCACCACAAATCTCAAAAGTATTACCTAAGTGATCTTTTATACAGCACCGCTACCATCCAAAGTAACACCAAAATAATGTACTCCATCAGTCTCAAAGTTTACTACAACACTCATCTTACGAGCACTATATATCTATAATATATTAACCTTGAGATAAACTAGGAGTTCCTCATGAGACGATTTCATCTAAGACTAGCTCACGACCAAATGCGCCCTCTTGCATTCTGTTAAAAGCGAAGTCTGGAAAGTTGCCTATAATTGTGCAAAAAGACCAACATAACTGATGAATCCAATCAGTAGTATTTCTTTTGGCTTATTTCTTGTTTTATGCAAGCTTATTACCTACTCAGCACAATCCTACTAATTCATTACTTATTTGCTAATGCTTTCTCTAATAGAAATGCACTACATTATAATCTCTCTTTTTGCCTACCCTTATATGTGTTGACAAAGCTCAGAAACCAGTGGAGGAACCAAGCTACCCAACTCACTAGCTTGATCAGGCAAGGCGATACAGTCATTATCAGTACTACCCCTCAGCAACATACAGGAAGAATGAAATCCAAAAAACTAGAAAAAGTGATTAAAGAAAGTTTTTGATTTGTTTGTCTTATAGCAGCTTTAAGTATGATTACCTCAGTTCTATCATTTTCTCTTCCAATCTTCTCAAAGGTACCAGATCATATTTTTTGCCTAACTACTTTATTAATGTGAGATATTGCAGGAAAATTAATATATTATGTAATCTATGTCAACCCATTCCATAAACAAAACAATCATAATTCAGTAAAAGTGTTGAAATTAATAGATGTAAAAGGCTAGCAACTGTCTATTTCATCTTATGACTTATAGGCTAATCCTGCCTTCCCAACCGCCCCGACCCCCCCCCCCCAACCCCAATGCTTCCTAGTTCCTGCCTGGAGACCACGGTCCACAGGGCCGGCTACTAGAAATTGCAAAGCAATCTTTTGCATAGGGGGCCTTAAGATGTGGGTACGATTCGTATGAACGTTTAATCATATGTGTCCATGTGTTCGAGACCATAGGAGTATTGCTGTATTGGGTATTGAAACGTCACCTATAGATATGTTAAGTGTTACCAAGATCTGAATACGAAAGCTTATTATTTTTGCAAGAAATACCCTCTCCCTCTAACATTATATTATATTTGTGACATTTTTTATTGATTTGTACATTTCCGATTTCATAAGGACTCGATGTTTTCTCAGGAAAAAGCACAGGACCCCTAAATTGTTTAGGACAATGTACAATGGGTGCCAATACCAGTCTTCTCCCTCTTCTTTCTCTCTGTTTTCTGTAAGGCCTGTAATCTGGCACATAGTAGAGAAAAAGGCAGCACCTTTAAAAATAATAATGAATTAGGGAATTTCAAAGAATTTGTAAAGCAGATTTTTGGCACTGATCCATCCATACTTGAAAAGTTCATACGTAATTTCATGAAAATCTGCCACCTATATTGACCTGTAACAACTAAATTTAGGAAGATCTGTAAACTTGGGACAACTAATTCATATTACTATATAATACTTAGTATAACTCAATGACCGCGCCAAAAATAATCAGAAAACAGAAAAGTCGGTTTTGATCAGTTCAGTTAAGTATATATATCAGGCGAAGAGAACAACAGCATACTTTCATGATTTATGTTCCTCTTATATTGACCTCTAACAAAACATCAGCATAATGGATCACACTCACAATACAGTTCAAATTGCAAAATATTTGGCCGACTATTTGAAACCAAAACATTCACCTGATAAAATTCATCTAGCGTTATAGACATCATTCAGTGAGTGCTCCGTACTATGTTTCCTTTTCTCAGTTCAACCACATGTCCAAGTCCGATCAATGTAACGTCGTAACCAAATGGTCATTACAATTGAATAACAGCCAGGCTCCTGACTTTTACCTGATAAGATCAGTAGGAAATTTATGCTAGCTCCACTAGTTTCTTAAATAAACACGCGATGCTTTACCAAATGAAGACGCTAGACTGCAGGAAGAACAAGGTGCTTCTGATAGCGACAAGCATAACAAAGATCTAATATATTAGCTCTGTTGTATTCACTGAACAGAAATATACAATCAGATATCGCACTGAAGACATGCATAATATTATATATTACATACTATTAGATAAGTTTTTACTAAATCTTCACTGCCGATATTCTTATATTTTATAATCCTAATTGCAGTTAGGCAGCACAACATTGTACTTCTAATCACAAAAGCTTTACATTATCTTGTTATATTAATCACAAGAGAACGGCTTTGTCATTTGATATCAGTCATGCTGAAGCAATAATTATTCTAATTCATTAGAAAGTCAGACACAAATCTCTATCTCAATCTTCATTATCAGAGTCTGAACTAATTCTCATTGCTAATACAGTCAGAAGTCAGGTCAGGGAGATCATTTCAGTATTAGCAATCAGTTTACTCCAGAATTCAGATTGATGATTTTGGATCAGTTCATCAATCTGAAATCTAGGAAAGCTGAGAGGCTAGATAGCACAAGGTTGCAGACTAATTTTACTACAAGCTAAAATGGTCAATAAAAGCACCTTAGCCAAATCACAGCCAGAGCCAGACTGACATGCTTTAGCCGGACTCAGTAATACAGACCTTAACAACAATAAACGAACATCTGAAAAACAATTTAGAAGAAAATGTTAGGAACTTTGTGAACTTTTTTCAAACATCGCAAAATAGAATACACAGTGAATGGGGGTATGTATTCTTATGTTTTCGTATCCCCATTATCTAAAGTTGCTGATTTTACTATAAACCGATTTATATAGAACTTCAAAATTTCCAAAGGTTTGTGACAAACTGTCATCTTCACCTTACCCTTCAATTGCCATGCAAATTCAAGATGTTCCGAACTTAGTTATAAAAAGTACATTCTACTTAGTCAAGCCTAATCAAATACGAATGAGGACATGATTAAGTTTTGTAGACTAATCAGTGTTCACTTCTCCTTCAAAATGGTAAGGGCACAGCTAAGCCTAACAAGTTGTGTAGAGCCAAGTTATAGTGTTAGAGCTCACCATGAAAATTGTTAGGTATTTCTTTATCTTTAGTCCACATTTAGTAAAAAGAAAATTATAAAATTGTCCACACTAGAAATGAAGGAATGTTTCACAAACAATCTACACAAGGAGGTGTTTACATGAATAAGGGGTTTACATTTGACTATTACCCAAGTAAGTCTTAAGTCCCCCTTAAAGAAATAGTTGGTCCGTTGTGCAATTGGTCTCGCTCAACTTAAAGGTGAGACACGCATCAAATCACTCCTCAACATTATAACAAGTAACCCCTTAATAAACAAAAGGCACCCTAGCATACATAAAAAGTCACCGCCGACAGACGACAGTATACAAGTTGCCCCAAAACCAACTGGTGACACTGAAAAACTACCTTTCTCCTGACCAGAAATAGTGGGAAATGGGAATACAATAAACCTGTTGTAATCATTCCGGCGGGGTGGCAGTCCTCTCTTGCCTGTAATTTTCTGTCTACATACATTGGAGAGTTTTCTAATTATGATAAATGGATAAGGGAGTCTTGACCTTAGGCTAAGTGTTTTTTATTGTAATAAGCTTTACAGTTTGACAACAGTTCTGGTTTAACAACCTAATGAGGCTGCAATTGTCAACTAACTCAGCTATTTGGCAATAATTTTGACTTCTTCAGCATAAGCTGGTACAAGAACATTCCAATTAATCTCATCTATTTTGTCAGCAGATAGTTGCCGTCATTATCTAGACAAAATATACTTTGATCATTGAAACCACCAACCAAGCTGCAGGGATTCAGAGCAGACATTATAAAGGTCAGATGACACGGTATAAATTCTTAGATACTTCCAGCTATCAGCTAATTGATCAAAAGAATTATAACATGCCATCAAAAAAACTAAAGTCGCGCTTTGAAATTGCCTCAATAACCACCCAATTATTGTTTAAATATCGAATTGATTTATAGGATTTGGTAGTACCACGTCCACATAAACCAATGAGGAAGTAAGGAACTACAATCCGCTATGTGGAATGGGTATGAAAATATAATTCGCTACATAACTTATTTTGTGGTTTAGAGAGGCACAAAGACTTGATAAGACCTATAACAAGGAAATTGCACTTAATAATCTTCGATAGAACACCGTCGCTACAAGTTTCTCAAGTGTGAAGCTAAACGAAAGAATGTGTAGGTTTATGGGGGTAAAATATTCATTGAGGTAACTAACCACAAATCAAAAGGAGTTAGGGTGCACCTTTTAACATTGTCTTAGCTAGATGCATGATAAGGCACATCTAATGACTAAGGCAAATCAACTTTCTAAATTTTTAAAAGGGTTAAAAATAAATAAAAATAATAATTTAAAAAAAAAACCTCCTGCTACTTAAAATTGATACAATAAAGATGAATAACATATTAACTTTAGAGCACTATAACTTCATATTTAAGTAAAATGCAACAAGCATCAACCCAAAAGGCTTCAAAAAGTTTTTACACCGTACACCATTGACACTTAGGCTTTGTTCTTTCCACATCCAAAGAGTACATTTCAGATTCCGATAAGTGTTAAGCAAACAGAAGTTCAGATAAGTAGTTCAGAAGTTCAGAAGTTCAGGGCATCTTCCTATCAAAAATCAAAAGATAGAGTGATTTGACAATCAAAAATCTAAATCTCCGCCAAGGCGCCAAAGACTTAGTGTTGTTTCAATCATTTACAAACTTGCATGTATATCCAATTCTGTATGAGAAGGAAATTTACACAGCTAGGAAAACCAAAGAAAACAAGGAGCCATATATGTGCTCTAAGGTATGGAACTCACCTCGAAGAGATGTTTCTATGCGACATAGGTTGTTTTATCTATACATGATATACAGGGAACTCAAAACGCATTTAACTAAGCGATTTCACGACTTCATCTTATGAAAGAAACAGAAAACACAAAAATCCTCTAAGTGAGCATTCTTTTCCAGATACTAATTCTAGAAAAAATAAGGAGCTACCACACCATGATTGTCTAGGGATTTGATTAAGGCCAAAAGCAAAGGATCACCTGTCAAAAGAAAAAAGCAAAGTCATAAAAAGCTTCTTCAATACATAGTAAAAATAGGGGAAAACTTTCAGAAATATACTTATCAGCAAATTATTCATTTTCACCGTCTTCATAATAAATTTGTGATTAATAAATTTTTCAGTGGGCAATCTTTTTTGGATAAACAGAAATATGCTTGATATTAAAACAGAAGGTGAATCACTGTAGAGCAAAGCTATATCAAACACATAATGAGAATCACATTAGTACATTACAGCACCAAAGCAGTTCGGTTATTACATACAACAAAACTATGGCTGTCTGGCTTTCCATTATCTCTCCATCATTCATTCTAAGCGAAATTTGGAGCAACTCAATCGTAAGCTACAGCTATTTTAGGGAATGTGAAATGTTTTAAATATTCCAATATAGTATATGTGACTATTAACACCAAAAGAGTCCTTTTACTATTGCAAAGATTGGCGAATCTAGAAAACATATCTAGTAAGGCCTCCAAAGTAGGGCCCCTAATTCTCAGACACGGCCATTGATGGAATTAAACTTGAATTTACTAGTAGATGAATGAGTTTACAAGGATGATAATGGTTCACAGGCACCCTAGAATTCAATGTCGCATAGTCACACTCAAGTTTCAAAGAGGAATACTAGCGACCAGCGGCCAGTTCTTAAGATTTTATGCAATATGAAAAATGATCAATAAGATACTAGCAAAGGCAGACATGGAGAAGGAATGCATATCGTATATGACATTTAGACTTTTACAATCTAAGATCAACATAAGAAAAGTTAGAAAGCATACCTCTTTAAGGCAACCAGGGGAACGACCTTCTGGTGGCAAAGGCTTCTTAGTCTTCCAGCGAGCTATCTCTGCCTGCATTGAGTCAATTTTATCCCTAATCTCCCACAAAACTCTCAATTCTTCTTCTGCTTTATCAGCGTTTATTTCATGGCCTCTTGTTACAAACCTCTGATCCTCAAGTTGCTTAAGTCTTCTGTTGAACTGCTGAAATTCCAAGTCAGCAACGCCAAATGTTGGTTGTTTAAAAAGCAATGGCTTATCAGTCTTGCACTCTTTTGGTTTAAGTGAATCATTACTGCTACCTGGGGAAAACAATGGCTTCTTTTCCCAATCAATTTTCTCTTTGGCATCATCTGTCTTAGTTAAGCTTTGGTCACTATCTGGAGTCAACAATGGTTTTCTCTCCCAATCATTTTTCTCCTTGACAATAGACTTACATATCTTACCCCAGACAGAATCTAGCATTCCGTTCCTAATTTCACTTTCAACAGTCAGATTGTGGCTTTCTTCCTTAGAATTACCATCTTGATCAACGAAAGAACATATTGGGACTTCAAAGATATCCTGAACACTTGTCGAGCAAGCAGAATCTTCACATGCTTGAACACTGGCTGCAGATTCAGGAGATTCAAGAATATCTGATTTTGCAGGAGTATTTTCAGGGGAGGGATGCAGCATTGGAGTTGCACTTATTAGTGGAACATTATTTGTATCCTCAGCTGAAGGGAAAGTACTAGAGCCCTTAAGATCATCCAACTCCTTCAACCGTTCATCTAACTTCTTAATCTCTTCCCAATATGAATCTTGCTCCCTTCGAATATAGGGGTCTTCACCTTTACTTTCCTGCCATGGGTGTGGAGAGGGTGTTGAGGATTTTGTTCCCTCGGTAGAAGCTCGCCTACTCAACGCACCATTATTTGGAGGAGGTGGTAGTGAACTATTCCGTCTGAGAGAGCTTCGCGAGCTTGATTCTTCTGCATTTTTTCTTGACAACATGTTATCAGGATATTGTATCTCACAGGTACCTAAATCATCACACCCCATGCTTAAAAGTTTGAACCTGTATGCCTGAACTTGGAACTCAAGGGAAGCAATCTGCATTTCTTTCTAATATATTACTTCCTGAAAAGTCTCGAGTGTTTCTTGAGCATGACAAATCTTTTCTTCGGCAATTCTCTTATATTGACTAGCCTCCATTCCCACTGCTGCCTTTTCACCCTGCAAGCGTAATATCATGGATAAAGCTTCATCAGCAGCAGTAGCAGAGGATTCTCTCTCCATATCCAATTCACTGTATAGTTTCTGCAAAAGTTCTTGCTGAGCATGGAGTGTCTCCTTTAGGTAATTAGTCCCAGGTGTGGCTAGAGATAGAGTACGTGCAGCCATCGGGCTCATCAATAGTGTACTTCAATTTTGGATCAGTACAGTTACTTGTACAACTGCAAAGATGCACAAGCATTCACTGAGCATGACAGAATGATTATAAAATATTGGTTTGCGTTAAAAAACCTGATCCAAAAGAATTTCTGGCAAAATGATGTATAACTAAAATAAGTAAACTGGTTAAATCAATTTGCTGCTTTGCAAAGGTAGGTGCAATCAATGTTCTGCTCAAGAACCCCTAATAATCAACCTGCTAGAAAATAACCAAATCCTTGCTCTACGAACATCTTTAAATAACAAGATTATGCTCAGTAACACGCTTACAGGCATTACCCAGTAAATTGAACCGATTCTCAAAACAACATGTTGAGCCTGCTAAGATTTTACTGGAAACACTAATTATGACAAGCTATTAACCAATCAACTAAACAATAAAGCATCATCGCACCTAGGAGGAGCTTGCAACAGCCACAACAGTCCAAAATGTACCTGGAAGCCTAAAGGTTCGTGACAACATCGACCCAATGTGTATCTGGAAGTCTAGGAGTTCGTTACAACAACACCATCCGGTCCAACCCAATATGTATCTAGGAAATTCAAGTTATAAATGGCATCATCCTACCATACTACTGACACCAAGAACTAGACTATTAGTAGTGACTGTTTCTAAAAGACCTACAGCCAAACCATCAAGAAACATGATAGAAACTCCAATCAGTCTTCGCTATCCAATTGATTTCCAAACCTATTTCTCCTTATAAAGGTTGCAACTCAGCAAATGATTCCAATCCAACTATTCCATACTCCACATATTGATATACTATATTAAACAAGCCGGATATGCATAATTGCATACTGTGATAACTTTGCAAATTGGCCCTAAATTGTGATAAAATACTCAAATCTGACACTGAATACTCGTACTTAATTTCAAGAAATTGTAAAGCAAAAAAACACAGCAATACCAGAGATATATTCATCATCCCTCAATTACACATTTTCCACCCAATTCTATCGTTTAAAATTCGTCATATATTACCGCATACTAAACAGGACGTTCATGCTACCAGAAAGACTTAACTAAAAAAAACAGGCATATTTAACACATTAACACCCATAGTTCTCAAATTCCAAAATCTGAAAAATGCAAATCATCGACTACAAAAATCAAAAGTAAAAGAAATGTAAGATGAAGAAAATATACCTGAAAAGTTCAGCAAAACAGACCAAAATTGCAACCTTTGACAAATACCCAGAACACCTGAACAAAAAAAAAAAACCACTTTCTTTCACGTCATCGCACCATTATAAAATCTCAAAACAACAATTTAGATGACACCCATTTGATAATCACTCAAGAGTAAGAAAACCCAGTTTCAATTTTCCCTCTATTTTACAAAAATGACAGAAATTTCTGCAACAAATTTCGAGAAGAAAAAAACCCCAGGAAAATGAAGAAAAATTTAATGCAGATTGAATGAGTAAATAGTACTTCTACTCCAGATATTATTATTATCAGAAAAAACAAATGTGGAAACCAGATGCAATAAACCGACAAATTACCAAAAATTTGACTTATTAAATTATTAACAGATGCTTTTAGATGAAACGATGGGGTCAAATTTCCCATCTTCCTAATGATACTGTAACCTTTTTTATCTTTGGCTTTTCCAACGGTTTCGCTTTGTGGCTTTTCTTTTCAATTCTTTTTTCTCCCTTTGTTTTTCTTATCTTTGATCATTAGGAGGGTCTAGAATGATTACTCGAATTCAAAACTAGTGAGTGATCTAAGCGATTGGCTTGGTTTGATGAAGGGATAATGCGAGAAATTTGTGATGAATAAGGGTATAAGTTCTTAGATATTTGAAAATGAAAAAGAAAAAGGTAAAAAATACTAAGTAAAATAACTATAGGTAATCAAGGTAAGAAAAATTATAAGGCGTCTTTATTATAAAGTTGTGCAAGCGTTGAATTTTGAAAAGAATTTAATATAAGGGAATTTCGATTCATATAAATGTAAAGGCAAGAGATTGTATTAAATTATTGGATAAGTTCCTATCTGTCAATCTAGACTTGTAACATCTGTTGAAAGACAAGTAAATGTGGAGTCATTAAGAGAGAAATTTTCAAAAGAAGAAAAAAAAGTTGTCAAATGACAAATTAATTGGTAAGATAATGATTTATAGTATAAATGTTATTTTTATAATGTACATATGAGAAGTGCCAATTTTTATTACTTGTATTAGAGTGAAAAGTAAATCTAGTTTTTAAGATTTTTTCTATATACTTGTATTATACATTTTCTTGGGTTGTAGTATTACTTTACATGACCTTTCTTTAATTGCAATAGTATATAAGAGGTATATAGATATTCTTTGCATAGTCTGTAAGTAAATTTATTGTAATCTTATTTAATTATTAGGAAAGAAATCAAGCTAAACATAAATATTTAGATTATTGTAACATGGCCTTTTTTACAAACTTTTACTATAGTATTTATGACATAGTTGTTTGATACCTTTATGTGATTTTTTTTTCTTCTTATTGATATAAGGTTAAGGTCATACTATCATTTGGTACGTAATGAAAATGACTCGATTAAACTCGGCCCCTAATGAATCACAAGTCCTCTAATCCACCATTAGCGAGACAGAACCTTTGAAATTGATGTCTATAATGGGGCTTAATTCCACGAAGTCAAAGTCAAAGTCAAAGTCAAAGACACCACATCTAACCACTACTATACGTACACCAATACTTCTTAATAATTTTATATCATACTTATAACCAAGAAAATACAAGTTTATCTTTGTGATAAACAAGTTTCACGGTGAAAATGGGTAAAACCACTACTTGTTTATCACGTAATAGCGGTTTTACTTCATGATAAACGAAATTTGTTTATCACAGAGATTAACTGGGGTAGCTTCTAACCTATGCATGGCTTAAAATCTCACTTATAATAAATTACATATTGGTGTTTTGCACTTTTCATATAGTCAAACTTATACAAATTAATTAAACATGAATAGAAACTATTACATATGTTTAGTTGACAAAAAAAACTAAAAAATTATTTATCCAGTCTTCTTCGGAGTAAGTAGAACTTCATAAAATCATTGAATAACTATCTAAACAATGATCAATTCTTTCCCACAATTAGAGAACTCCCTTATAACTGCATGTTTTGAAGAAGTGATTATCACTAAATAAAATTAATAACACTCATAATGATGATGAAATAAGAATCATTACACATGCTTTACCCCAAAAATATAATAAAATAATTACCATTGATAATAAAGTTTGTATCTAGGAACGGCTAAGAGAAGACCCCATTAGCGGTAAGCCACCCTCAACTAATTATTAATTTATAATATTGGTAAAATTTTAAAAAATCGTTATGGAATAATATAGTCGTATTCAACTACAACGGCTAAGTCGGATGTTGTGGAGCCCACTTATCAAAATCTACCGACCACTCCTTCTAAGCTAAGTGTTGGCCCATGCGAGGTCGGCAATATGATGGGATGTTAACATGTTTAATCGATTATAATTGATGTTGTGGACTCTATTTATTTAGAATCTACAAATGTAAATAATATTTATAATAAGATAGCCAAGTTTAGTAACTTAATGACGAATAGAATAAAAGTGAGGTTTAATTATCTTATGTTAAATAACAATGTAGGGGAGGATTATGCATCCCAAAACATATTTAAATCATAAGTAGTTTTGATTATAGAATGGTTTAATTATATTATGTTGATATTGTGAAAGTATATAAATCAAGACATATGCAAAAAGATCACATTACAATTATATTTCATTACGTATAAATTATAATATGTGGCTAAAGAGAAGAATAGTGTTTTTGTGCGAATGAGCTATAAGAACCTACAATTAGGATTAGGGGTGAACTTGTAGCATATTGTACATAAATCTTCAATCTTAAAACTAGGCATATGCGAAAAAGTGTAAAAATCACAAACGCTACAATATTAAGAGAGCAAAGGAATTATTGAATTTTAATTGATTCAATAATAATAGAAGTAGAAATCAAATTGATGGATAAAGTCATTTTGGTAAAAGATCCGTTTTTAATTAAGTCCTCATTTCCTTCCTCTTCCATTGCAAGAGAGGCTTCAACCAAGTCTTTCTCAAAAGTCAAAACTATCCCATTCATTCCATTCCTTTCTTTTGTTTAAACTCCATTTTTTTACTGCCTCTGTTTTTTTTTTAAATGACACATTTTGACTTTAGCACTATTCACACTCCCCTTTAACCGTGTTTTGTGCTTTATATGTAATGAAAAATAGTCATGTATAATCTTTTAGATTCGTCACGATATATATTTTCAAAATACAAATTTTCATAATTTTTGCTTATCGGTAATTAAAGATATGAATGGTTAAAGTTATACATTGGCAAACGTGACTAAAAAAACGTGTCAACTAAAAAGAAACGGAGGAAGTATATCTTACCACAGTAACTTATCCTCTGTCAAGTCTCTTATCCTTTGTCGAGTCTTTCTAACACTCAATCATCCCCTTCCCTACGATAAGTCCAAGTGAACATCTTTCCCTGGAAGTTGATATCATGTAGATCATTTATATCTTTCCATTCATTAAAACAGTTCGCTCCTCTAATATTCGTTTTATGTTTACCATCTTTTTTCATGAAAAGAGTACTCAACTTTAAAATCCCCTAGAATAATATTTGGTATTCCTAAACTTAATTTAGTCCAATTGTTAAAACTTTCCCAAATCTCGTCCCTGATAAACAATTGGGCTACCAATACAACAAAATAAATCTCCAGTTTCCAAAAAACGAGTCAGAAACATGAACTACAGCGAAATTAAAACAAGAAAAGACAATCATAAAATGATTTGTAATGTTCTTGCCTAATATTGAAAGCTCAGACCTCTTAAATCTATTGTAAACAAAACTTTTGGGTTCCATGATCACTCATCTTCCTGGCTTCTCAGCCTTGCAAGCTTGTTGGTGACAACAACATCAAGCTGTGCAGCACGCTCGACAATATCTTTTCTCTTTTTGGTTGAGATATTGTGAGCAATCTCAGCGCAGTAAGTCCTGAAATATACAATGTATACCAGTCAGCAAATACATGAAAAAGAGAACAAGGTGTGAAAGCAAAAGGTATCAAAGAATATAAAGGGCAATCTGTTACCTGTTGTGCATCATCAGAAGTTCAAGGTCACCGACATTATGCACAACAAACTTCTTGAAGCCATTGGGGAGGAAGTGACGTGTCTTCTTGTCAGACCCATATCCAATATTTGGCATAAGAGTCACTCCCTTGAACTTTCTTCTCACTCGCGAATCAATACCTTTTGGCCTACGCCAGTTAGTCTGCAAATGTACAACCATTCAGATTAATGAGACATTTGATGAAACAACTTCAGAGTAAAATGGCACAAGAACGGAGTTTTTTTGATACATTTGTATGGCCTCAGAAGAAACAGCGCCATACAAGGAAATACCCTACCCTAGACCAGTAACAGGGCATATAAACAAGGTATATAACCCATGTGGCTAGCATTTTCACAAAACATTCTCAATCCTGGCAGCATGCATATCAAAGTAAAACACGTGCTAGAAACTAATCATGATTATTAAGCATTTAGTGAGTGTGCATCCAGTATCGATTGTGCTATAGATTACTTTTGCAAAACAATTAGGTGGAAAATTCAAACTAATGTACACAAGTCTGACTTGAGAACCAAAAAGTGACATTTTAAAATACAGCCCCGAGTTACTAAATTACAGATAATACAAATTCAATCACAAAAGATAAAAAAAAGACCTAACAAGGCTCTATCAACTTCACATTGAAATTAGTTTAAGTTTAATATAAAGTTCTAACCAATCATAGTCAAAAAATGCATTACGCGCCCTGAATTTTTGTATAAAAACATCACAAATTCACAAGTCAAAACATGCATAGCCTACTAAAAGTTTCAGATTAGATAGACTGGTAGACATGGATAATCAAGCGCCAACCCACATACAGGAAAAACTACCAAAATTTGGACTTCAACATTAGGCCAGGTCATAATAGAATACCAAGGTGCAAGCTTCACACATTAAAATCAGAACAAGGATGCCATACTTTTGTGTTTAGGCCCATCTACTTATTTACTAGCCCGTGATACGGATTTAACTACAAATATTACAGAGTATATATTACTTGTACTATATAAGAATACAAGAGATCAGCTACAAGTCTATAACACAAAAAAGAAATTAATAAACAGGATGCCTCTAATTCAATCCCGAAATCTTGCCACCATCATTATATACCACTCATAGGTCATAATTAATCCGTGATATACCATATGCCACTTATTATAATTCATCATCGATACATCATACGCCACTATACCCAACTAAGTCATCACAATATAGATCACCAATACACTAATCTACACCAAACAAATTGTATCCTGTAATCTTCCTAGCTTATGAATAATTAAGCAACCAGCCAAACAAATTGTAATTTGTAATCATCCTAGCCTCTTAATTAATCAACCAACTCATATGAATTTCATCTCGACAATCATACCACTCGGCATAAATACTACCATTTTCACATAGAAATTGACTAAAAACAACATTAAAATAGAAAATAAAAAAAAAAAAACTTTGTTGCAAACGTTATACCTTCACACAGATTTTTCGGTCGGATTGGGGTCTCTTGAACTGCTTGACCCTCTTCTTCACTATCTTCTTATCAAGTTTGGGAACAGCCATTGCTTATTTCTACGAAATTAACAAAAAATATACTACAAATAAATATTGATCCATGTATATATATCAACTTTTCACAATTTTAATCCATGTATTATTTCATATAATAGTTGTGCACTATACATTCGATTACAGCCTACAAAATACACTATGCATTCAACAGAGTATAAGGTT